CGTTAGGCTGTGCTGCTTGGTCCTCCAGTGCACAGGTGCTGCAGACCTCTCAGCCAAGCGCCCGATCCAGGGCTCAAGCGGAATGCTGCACCAATTGCTCAAGTCTGCCATTAAGTTAACTGTGGAGCACTGGTTTGCTTCTGAGTTTCTTTTAGACAAGTGTAAAAGAAAACAAAAGCTTGAGAACAGTGTGTTCTACTACTGGGGATGTGATGCTACTTGCATTCCTGTCAATTTCAGTTTAGGAGGCACTGCTATTGGCCTCTCCCGAAGAAACCTTTCCATCTCTTTCACAAGGCCAATGCGATGGGCTAAGATTTCTGCATCCATACATGTATATGGCCCAGACGCTGACATCATCACAGCTGAGATGACAAGACCAGGACAATTCATCCTATGTCATTTACCAATATTGTTTACATAAGTGCTGATCCTGCGATGCACTTAAGAATATGTGCAACAGCTTTGGGACCATTACATGGAAATATTTATAATACATTTAAATCCCAAAGGCAGGACCCATAATTTACAAAGAAACAATCTACAGGAGTACACAGGAGAGATAACTGGCTACATTTTTAAACTCAGATGCTAAATTTGATATACAATTTGATAGACCCTTCCATTAAAAATGACGGACAAAAGTCAGGAATTAGTCTGTCTACATAAGCTCTCCCTATAATTTGAGAAGTTAATGCACACTAGATGGATCAATATGGTTAGTAGACTAGTCCCTACACAAGAGTTAATACCATACAGAATGTCGCTGTATTTTACTAAGGAGAGTCAATATGTCATAGGGCATTACCCGTTTAATACTAGCTACTGTATGGCCAGAGAACCCAATCACAGCACAACTACTTCCCAGGCTTGGCCAGCCCAGAGAACATCTATGTGGGAGGTTACTTGTTTCTGATTTGTTAACTGCTAGTTCCAAAGTTGAATCACAGAAGTTAATAGTTTAGAATTAAATGGCTCTTTGAAAAATTCTAGGGGTGTGTGATGTCAATCTGTAAAAGGAACTAGGAAGTCTGCACCAAGAATTCCCTCCGGAGCTTGTGAACATCATGATTTTCAAATCAATACAGTGATTATTTACAGTACTAAACTTCTCCCACGCCTTTTATTATTTTAAAGAGGTTATTTTTAGCAAAACTTGCGAGTTCACCTTCCTGCTCTACATGCCTGCTTACCCAATGGAATATCGACAACCCAGTGATGCAAACTTTCACTAAGGGTAATAGTTAATGGTCCTGTATTTGTAAGTGGTGCAGTCACAAGATGTTCCACAGTATTTTGTTTTACATCTTAACAATGAGAACTGGATTCGATGACCTCCTGAGGTCTCTGCCAGTCCTGGGATTCTGTGATTCTACAATTATGGGGCTGCCAACATAAACACACACACTTCTGCTTTAAGACCAATGACAAGCATTGCAAGTGACATCTTCAGTAAGTGTCTGGCTGGAATCACAATCCAGAATGTGCCATGATTCAATTAAAATTACTTTGCAGAACGATGGCATCTCTTAATTCTAGGAGTTCAGCGTAGGAGTACAATTTATCAAACACGCACAACTGTATTACTACTTTACTGTTCTCAGGACAGTTGGGTTACCTCTTTGAGTTGTTCTTTACGGAGCTTGTATTCTCTCTTCTGGGACTCCAGGAAACTATTCAGTTCTTTCTTTTGCTGGGCCTGAATATGTTGCTGAAATTTCTTTTCTTCATTGGCCATCACTTTAGCCTACATCAGAAGACACAACCAAATGAATTTCTGAGACTTAAGCAGCTTAACTGACCTCCACTTCCATGTCAGACCCCATGCAAATTGCTGTTGCTTTGGACCTTTAACATATACTCACCATCCCTTTCAAAGAGCACCGAGACTATGCAACATCCACTTTTATCGCTCACTTTCCCCCCACAATGCACCCACTGACAGTCTCTGCTCAGTGCTTTGTTATGTAGCCCTAAGCTCTAGCCCTAAGCTCCACAAGCCAGCAAAGGGAGTGGGTCTCAGATCTGGAGGAGGAATGTCTACACTGCTATTTTTAACGCTCTAGCACAAGCCTGAGTGTGTAGATGCAGTCTCGGAGATTTGCTCACTGGCTTTTGTGGGTTTTGCAGAGCAGACAAGTCCTCTGACACGAGGAGGATGAGCCTGGCACAAAGAGCTATGCAGAATGGAATAGTTCCACTCAGTGACCAATAGTACAAACACGTGAAAATCATCATCAACCGTCGCCTTTGGTGGCACTAGTCCACTATGATTTGTTAACAAGTCAGTCTATTCATAAACAAACAAAAGTATGCACGTTCTAAGCACAGCTGGCACATTTCTATGAGGAATCATTTTATCTGAACTACAACTCCCAAAAGGAGTCATACAGGGCAAGAGTGCTATTCTACTACTTAGATTTCTGCTCATTTCAGAAGAATGCACTTAATTGACTTTGAAAACATACATAAAATCAAGACGACAAAGGATACAGGACAAGAGAAATGAAAATCCTTACAGTAATTCTTTCTGGGCTCAATATGCTAACATTTAGTACAATGCACTGGGACGCAGGACATACCTTTCCTATAGTTACATAAACCCTTAGTGTAAGGAGGTGATGTATTAGCCTTTTTCTAATTAGCAATTTGCTTGGCTCCTGAAAACAGACATGTAAGAAACTACAATGTCATCTCTTCTTCAGTGAGAAGAATGTAATTAGCAAACATAGACCAGTCTCTAAACCTTCCTCTCCTACCTCCTTCTCCATGGCTGCTTGGTGTTTCTTAATTAGTTTTTCCATTTCTGCAGCAAAGTTGTTGCGCTGTGTTTCAAGATCTTTGTCCAACCTGAGGCGATGCTCATCCATCTCTGCCTTCAGTTTGTTCTCCAGTGCCATCAGCTGCTTCTGGTGCTGCCGTCTCATGCGTTTATAGCCAGACATCTGCTCGCGGAGCTCAGAATCTTGTTCATGTTCCTGCATTTGCCTTGTCACCTAATAAGATAACCACAGTAGCAAAAAAAAGTTAATGCCTCTTAATCTATGTTTCCAGTGTATACAATAAAAGGCTTGATAAGGATGTACAATTGTACTGGGAAGACGAGCACAGGTCTCAGGAGCAGCAGACAGCTGCAACCCAATCTGACTACTAGAGACAGCCTTCTCCTTCGATACACAAGAGTATCAAACAGGGCCCTGATGAGTGTCTCAGAAGTGTTAGCGTTGCCTATGACCGAGAAGAGGAAGACCACAGCCATCTTCATTTTGTATTTTACCCAAACTCTGGTTTCAAGGGGGTTTCTTCTGAGGAAAACACCTCACAGAGGCACCAGCAGCAACTAAAAAGCTTTGCTTTACTTTGTGTCTAACCTTAAAGCAATCTTTCCGCACTAGCTACAATCCCAGGAACATACTCTCCTGAGTCTAGAAGCATTTAGCACAAAGGCCACTGTGTGTGTCACATCAAAGGCCTGAACTTCTAAAGTAGTACCCATTTTACACGGTGCTAATTCACATCTCCAACACCAGAGGCACAGAAGAGGCCACCTCCAATCCATTCCGCATTAATGTTTATGAAGAAACGTCAGGAGTCCAGTTATGAAGGGGTTACAAGTGCTGAGTGTTTCACTAGTAAAAATTAAGGCAAGTCACCAATTTGACTTGTGAAAAATGCTGGCTAGAGAGTTTTATTCACAAGGTCTAGATTAGCAATTCTCCTATGTGGCCACCAGAGGGCTTTCTTACAATCATGATAGCATCCTCAGATCAAATAGTGGAAGAAAAGACTCACAACCATATGTGTTCATTTTTTTTAATTGTATCCTTTGGTATATATGGTTGTGACTATTTTCTTCCACTATTTGATCTGAGGAAGTGGGTCTGGCCCACGAAAGCTCATCATCTAATAAACCATCTTGTTAGTCTTTAAAGTGCTACATTGTCCTGCATTTTGCTTCAGCTACCCCAGACTAACACGGCTACATTTCTATCACTATAGCATCCTGGGCAGAGATGGAGGAGGGCGCAAAGAATGGCTCCTCCCTGCAGCATCCAGGAATTGCCAGGATGGGGGAGGGAGGAACCTCTTCAGCTATGGGACTTGAGGGAGACTTCTCCCTACCCCTTGCTGGCACTGGCAGGGGCACCGACGACTTGCCAGGCCCATGGGCAAAGCGGGGTTGGGAAGGGGCTCCGTGCTCCCGGAAGGCAGAAGGGAGAGGTCCCGTTGTCTGGACTGCGCTGTGCTTAGAGCTGCCCAAGACACGCCACGGTAGCAGCACCAGCGGGGAGGCCCAGAGCCCCAGAGCCTTTTGAATCACTGGGCCATAGGACACCTTTCCCCTTGGTCGGCATGCCTAGGCTCTGGGCTCCACCAGGGCCAGCCTTACAAGGCACCATGGAGAAGAGCCTGAGTTGTGAGGCCTCAAAAGGGAGCTTCTGGCAAGGGGGAGGAGCAGTGGGGCCCAGGGACAATGAAGAGACAGTGGGGAGCCTGGGGAGGCAGAAGATTAGAGGCAACGGAGGGCCAGAGCAGGCAGGAAGGGCCAGGTGTACTATAACATAGCTGTACCTTGTTTTTATTCAAGAATCTGTAAAAAAAACCTATGTAAATACATTACAATGACTTGATGTGCACACGTGCATATTCAGTCCTATTTCCTAAAATTAAGCATTTTAGGAAAGTTGGACAAAGCGGTCACCAGCAAGAAGCCCCAGACCTGCAGCACGGCTTCCCAGCAAGGGAATACTGAGAAAACTATACTGACCTGCCAATACCATTTTGGTGTGAAGGAGAACTGGCTCAGCTGACTAACCTATCTGTGCAGACGGCGCACACATACAAATGAGGGTGTGAAATTTTTAAGGGAACACTTGCTTTTGTGGCATGAAACTATAAGCCAAGTGATACAGCAGATTCCCTATGTACTAGTAGGCATTGGTTTTGAAAATACATAAGCTTCATAATAAATACTTGTGCTAGGGTTTATATTTATGCTAGTAAGTTAGCTCGGATGATTTTTGTGATCACATTTTTGAGTGTATGATGACACTTCACATTCTGATGAAACCCTAAAAGCTGCAAGTAACACAATAGCTAAACCTCCACATTTGTCAGGCTCAGACAATGTAAACAGGAAAAAGGAAACCTACCAGTGATGCTGTGCGTATAGTAGCAAAGTGCTCTCGGTTGCGGTAATGTGACTTGTGGCGAGATACTTGGGGTGGAGATTGTGGTTCTGACGTCCTTGTTCTAGAATCAGACTCTTCTATGTAATTTTCTTCCTCCTTCACAGTGGGAGAAATATTAATAGTAGAGTGAATAAGGAAAATTCATATTACTCAAATTTGTCATCTGAGTCTGCTTCAAAGATATCGGTAAGAAAACAGAAGCAAAAGTCTCTCAGATGCACAAGTCCCGAAAGGCAACTGTTGACAATAAGCCACTTGAAAATCCAGAAAACAGAAGCCTTACACCTGGAATTTAGGATGCTGAAATTTCATTTCCTAATTTTACATTTAAGAGGAAAG